ATTGGGGGTAGTTACTCTTGCTGGAACTGTTTCTTATCAATTTATTTAATATATTCCAAGTACCTCTCATGTTATTTTTATTATCCTCTAATACTTTAGAGTAATATAGTTTCTTAGATCTCCTCAAAATCTCAATTAATTTGTTCTTATATGACTTATATTTTTCTTCCGCCTTCTTTGATCTGTCCTTTATGAATTCCTTATATAACGCATTCTTCTTTTTTGCATGCATTCTGTTATCCCTTACTCATCCACGGTTTCCCACTGTAATTCCTCTTGTTTTTATATTGCTTACGAGGACAGTTCCTGTCATATACTTCCATGAATATATTTAAAAATTGCTCATATGCTTTATCTAAGTCTTCCTCTCTGTAAACTGATTCCCAGTTTTGCCCCATAAAATCCTCTTTTAGCCTCCTTACAGCATGTTCGTTCGTCACCCTCCTATAGAAAAGATTTGTTTTTGGCCTCTCTTTTCTATACTGGCCCTCATAAACCACAAATACTGGTAGATGATCACTTATATCATTTATAAGTAATCCACTTGTCATTTTGCTGTCAATAACATTGGTAAGTATATTATCTATTAGTGTTGCATGCTGGGTTGTTACTCTGCTTGGTTTTGTAATTTTTGGGTATAAACTGCATCTATATATTGTGTTAATAAACTCCTCAGTTCCTGTGTGCTTGTTAGGATTTAACAAATCTATACTGAAGTCACCACATATGAACATTAATTTATGACTTATTGTCGAGTAATTTTCTTCCATCCAGTCATTAAATTTTTCTATGCTGGCTCCAGGTGCTCTATAAATACAGCTTATTACAATATTTTTCTTTTTTTCCAAAAGTAATTAAACCGTCACAAATTGCAGCAAATTATCCACCACCCTTGACATTTTCTCCACTCTTATAACAAAAGTTTTTATCTATGTACAAGGCCACACCACCTCCCATCTTATTCTCTCTGTTTGTGCATACCAAGTCATAGCTATCAAGGTCAAAATCCATTCCCCTTACATTATTAATCCATGTTTCAGAAATAGCAATTATATTAAAAGAATGTGTCAGACTACTAAGATAATGTTTTATACTCTGAAAGTTTGCGTATAAACTTCTGCTATTAAAGTGAATTAATGATAATTTGTTTTCAGTCTTAACATTGCTGTT